CACACACACACACACACACACACACACGCGCACACGCACACACACGCACACACACACACGCACACACGCACACACGCACACACGCACACACGCACACACGCACACAGAGGTCATCAAGCTGCCAGGCAAGCAGGCGCGCATATAGATAGTTAATGATAGATAGATAGATAGATAGATAGATGGATAGCTGACAGACACTTGTTCCAGAGGCTGATTTGCCGGCAGTGCGATGACAGAACCTCCAGCTTGAAGCAGCCAGGCCGCAGTATAGTTCCATGACGATCCATGTGTTGAGCTGCACGGCAACTGCCTTTCCATGAGGTCCCTGTTTGGTGCCCTGGCTGTCGTGACCGACATGGCCAAGCCGGCAAGATTTTGAGAAGAGTCTAGCAGGATGCTGCAGCTCGTTGGGCGTCGCTGGCACATGAACCAGATTTTTTCCAGCATGATTTTTCTGCAAGCGCTGCAGGCTGTGCAGCTCCATCTTCCCCCTATGGAAAATGCAGGCAGCCTAAGCCAAAACACAGGCTCCGTGAGTTGGGTGCGACCATGAGACTCACGCAAAAGCAGTGACGTCGTCGGACTCTGGAATCAGGACCTGTGAGAGACGAGTTATCTGGTATTATGGGATTTGTTGAGTTTATAGCATGAATATCAAAATACTATCATGTAAGAGTACTACTGGTCAAATCATGTCAAGCCCTTGGTGCCGAGGTGGACTATTTGGTGGATCCCAGCGAGCCACCACTGCCCGACCAAGCCTCGGTTCGACCATCAGACTTCATAAGCTTCATAGCTTTTAGCCATTTATGGTCTTCAATGTGTAGATATTGGCTGCGTGCCGGAGCTTTGGGTCAGGTGATCCATGACTACCTCCTACAGCTGGCAGACGTAGTGCAGAGTTGTGGGGAGGCAGTGGCTGTGTTTATTTGTTGGATTGGCTGCCCTGACTTGAGCAGGGTATGTGGCTATGCTGGGTACAGACTGGCCAATGCCAAGACAGATAGTTCTCGGCAGCGATTCGCACTCTCGAGTTGTCCCAGCAGCTGGCAGGTGGATCAGCGATTTGGACAGCTGGCTGCTTACTCAAAGCAGAAAGCCACGATGATCCAGGCTTTGCGGACATGAGAGCCCAAGGTTTCCGGGGACAGATCCAGGCTTTTCGCTGTAGAGCAACCGAACCGTTGGCAGCAAGCAGGCGCACCTCGCATCAACGCCGGCGCCACCAGTGCCACAGGTCAGCTTTGTCGCTTCAATTACAGCAATCCCGATGGCAAGCCCGCGCAAGCATGTAGCGTCATGTAACGCTTCAAGGGTGTAAATGTGAGCCCCGAACAGTCCGAGCAACAGTTGTGTTGAAACGAGCCAAACCCCGCATAAAGGTTGCAGGAAATGCTTGGCATGATTCCCCGCTGCTGTGGTGATCTGTGGTGAAGCCGTGATGTTTCTTTGAGCAGTTGTGGTCAAGCCATCGGGAATGCGGTGTTTAAATGTGGTGAAGCTACGATACAGAGTTTCGTACAGTTTCTCACAACGGATCGGCCTGCTTGGTGTTGCTCCAGGAGGTTGCCGTGGCAGCTCATGCGCCTGCAAAGGCTGATTTCCTGCGCAAGCGGGGCGGTTGGCCGTCAGTGTCCGGTGATGCGACTTTGTTCGATCAGGAGGGCGACGCCAGCTCCAGCCAGCTTCCATCCGAGGCCTGGCACCGATATGGAAACGAAGCCAGCGTTTCACCGGCGCTTTCTGGCTCTGCACCAAACAATGCCACTGTCAGTTTTTCAGGTTGTGGCATCACGGCATCACATGCTCGAGCGTCTGCTTGATTATTGTGGAGGTGGCCACCGCCGTTGAACAGCCCGGGCAGGCCTGAGTGACAGTGGGAGGTCGAGGAGGCAGTACAAAAGTTTGCCAGGCCATGGCTCCTGCATCATCAGATGGCACGGCTGAGAAGGCTGTTTAAGCGTACATAATCCCACGAAGGCCCCGCTTCCCAGAATGTTCAATCAGAGCTCCATTGCAAAGCGGGCCCTTGTCGTTCTGAAAGGCCGCTGGAGACTGAGAGTTGCGCTGGCTGCTTGATCTGGCAGTTGAGAGCGGAATGAGAGTGAAGTGCTGAGTGGGAGGGAAAGCAAACAAATCTGGGAATGGATTAGAACTTGTTAATGAAGCAGCGGGAGCTGCTGGATGGAGCCTTCTCATGGTCTCAGAGCTAAAGAGATTGCCTCTGAGAAGTCTTCAGCCCGGTGGTCTTGCCGTCGCCTCGCAGGGTGACACGATGCCCTCGCGGCCGTTAACGAACTGCCGAGTGCACCTTCGCGTTTCAACTGCCATCGGGTAAAGCCCCAAGCAGTTCGTGCGAAGCCATGTGCCAGCATCCAAGAACCCACGAGACCGTTTCTCGACCAGAGCAGCGGGCAAGAAAAGCCGAAGGCCTTACTGCTCTGCAGTGTGCATGCGTTGGTGATGGATGTCCTGCGGTGTTTTGGCCCCAGTTTCGTTGTTCATGTCCTGCATTGTGAAATGTCGTGCGCGCATCCCCCAGCTGCCGAAGCAAGTGCTATGGATCCACATCTGACCTGGAAGGTCTAGCGTTAAATTTGCCCCGCCGTCCGCAAGGAAGAAGAAGATCGAAGCAAAGCGTAGCGGAACGCAGCGGCGCGGTGGCGTTCGCCATGGCCATGGCCAAGCTCTCGGAGGAGGAGCGGCAGATGGTCCGAGAGCTCGGCTGGCCTGTGGACACTCGGCCAGAAAAGGGGAAAAGGGCTCCTGGTCGAGGCCTACTGCACATGCTTGCATTACCCCCAGGAGTTGCTGGAAGATCCACGGAAGCAGCCTCGACTCATAGATAGCCCGGAGGACTTGTGCAGCTTCTCCTTGGTATCCTCCCTTCCCGTCCCAATCCGTCCTTCGCGATTCCATTCGATTCTGCAAACCTATGTTTAAAACTCCCGCGAGGAGTTTGCACGAGCTCTGCTCCTCGAGGATCACCTGGAGGACAGACCTCTTGACAGAACCCCTGCTTCGGGACCATTTGCGAACCTTGGTCAAGTTGCCGATGTTCGGCGAAGTCCAGGCTGTCGAATGCATGCCGCACATTGCAGCTGAAGGACATCGTCATTCTACAAGATGGCCTGAAGAGGCAACCGGTCTACAAGTGGTAGAAACAAGCCCAGAGACGAGCGTGTCATGCCGACAAGTCATGAATTATGTGTAGTTTCAACATCATGATCTGGGGCGAACAGTCCTGTGCACTGCAGTTTTACTTGTATCTGTGACAACTTGAGTTTGAAATACAGTGCATGTATCACAGCCTGTTATGGGATGTTATGGATTTGTGCGATACATCAGAAGCATCGATGCAGCATGCACAGCATAATCCCAGCGATCCTCTTTTGCGGTGGCGGGGGGACGGCAGCCCACTGAGAGGCTGGACCAGGACCAAATGGGCAGGGTATGAGCTTATTTGTCCGGGCATTGGATCAGCGGCTGTCATGAAAGCGAGTTCAGACCAGGCGTCGCATCTCTCATAATTCTTGAAATGCAAGGGCCAGGGCCGCAGAAAACCGCCATGGGCCTGTGCCAGAGCCTTCCGAGCCTTTCGCCTACCTGGTCGACCAGTTTGATTGCGGGCGCGCTAAGCAGAGCATGGCTGTCGGCAGATGTCGGCAGAAGTTTTGGCCTACTCATTGCTCTGTTACTACTGCTGCTACTCCTACTCCTACTCATCTGCTGCTGCTGCTGCTACTACTACTACTACTACTACTACTGCGACGCCGACGAGTGCTGTTACTAGCAGCAGGGTCCATATCTGTTCCAGTGTGCATAGTGGCATGATGCTCGTGGACATCGAAGATGTGAGCAACGGGGAGCAATCTCCTTTGTGACATTTTCCTGTGCGTGCAAATTGGGTTAGTCTCTGTCGGTTCACTGTCAGGGCCGGGCTGGCAGAGAGTGAGGCGGTGGCCTCGGTCGGCCACATGCCATGGGGTCGGATGTGGGCTGGCGGAGTCATACCGTGAATCAGAAGTAGCCGTGTCAGTGCCGGCATTTTGGGAGCACGCTGCTTCCAAGTGGCAAGCTTCTGCGATGGTCCTCTGTAGGCCTGTAGGCTCCGATACCAGCCCTGAGAAGCCGTTGTTGTGGGCTAAAGGTCGTTGTTGCCCAAGGCCTTGCCGCCTTGGCTCTCCAAAGCGCTTGATAGCGCAGACGGTTCAGTGCCTTGGTAGCAGTGCAATGCAATACAGGCATCCATGGCATCCGCAAAGTTCGGCAAGACCGCACGGCAGCGCCTGTTTGGGTTTCTGTGGAGGTTTTGCAATGCCTGCGCCAGCTGGAGCCCGCCGAGCTGGCAGCCCACAAGGTGACGGCGTTCGTCCGTGCGATCGGTTTCTTCTCGTAAGTCGTATATTTACAGCGGAACAGAAGCGCGCACAGATGCGAATAGTCAGTAATATCGCGTCTTTTGTTCTTGTTGGGTGCCCCTCACAGCTGCTGGCTTCAAGCACCTGTCAAAAGGCCGGCGCGCATGGCGCATGCAAAGCAGTGTAATGAGTTACGGTGTAGTGACACAGGTTGTGCCAGACTGCAGTTGAAGGGAAACATGGTTTCAAACCGTCCTGCACATGTATTCGGGTGTGCGCCGCCAGAGCTTGCCCAAAGCAGGCGGCTTTGGAATTTCCGGATGACCGGGGCGTGCAGCGCGAGGCTTTGCCGCGCCCGCATCTCGGCGTAAGGAGTTCTAACGGCATCGGTGTTAGACTTTGGATGATTTCCGGGTTTGACAGGGGCACCCTGTGTGAGAAAGTAAACCGTGGAATTGCGGAGGCAGGACAGGTTCGTGTGGAAGCCTCATGCAGGCTTGTTGATCTGCGCAGTCAGCTTATGGTGCATCTGTGACATGTAAGATATCTTAAAGTATTGAGGGACAGGCTCCAGTGTTTTGAAGAAAGGTATCCGTTCTGCCTATGGGACGACGACACTGGCGCCGTGGCCTGGAAAGCTTCTACCGTAGTATCTTGGTAGCGCCCGTGCGACGGCTTCAGATTTCACGGAGCATGCCAGGTGCTACGAAACTACCCGAAGCCAGCGCACTTCCAGAGGCGCCCTCAATCGGCCGAATTTTTTGCAGAGTTGCCGAATGTTCAAGTTTGCAGGCCTGGCGGGATCTTTCGCAGCGCCTTGTCGCCGCAGAGGCATGGGTGGTATTCACCTGCGGAAATGTAGCAGAGGCTCTTTTTCAAGCGAATATGTCAGATCAGTTTCAGCTTTCAGCGCATCAGGATGTAATGACATGAGTCTGCAGCTTTCAATTTTCAAGACTGAACGGGTTTGCCAACTCGGCTGTGAGGCTTTGAAAGCCAAAGGTGAGCTGGATGAGCCGCACAGTTGCCATGTTGACAGCTGGAGTTGTGTTGTGCGAGTGATGGTTGCATAGGGCTGCGCCTTTGCTTCGTCTGTCGATGGCCGGGCTATGCTCGTTAAATCTTGGGCTACACAAGGTGTCAATGTCACCAAACATGTCAGTATGTGTTTGCCCGATCTCCCTATGAATCGATTTTTGGGGACCAGGTTGTTGCAATGGGCATCGTTGATTTGTGTCGGGCAGGATGGTTAGAACGTTGATAGTGACCGTCTGCCTTAAAGTTCACGAGAACATCGGGTTCTAAGCAGTCCTCAACACTTGCGGCCCAGGTCTCACTTGTACGTTTGTGAGCTGCGGCGCTTGCGAAAGCGGCTTGCTTCCATCGATCGGGCTGGTGAGTCTTGTAAGTTAACGTTCGGGCATGTTCGGGCCGAAGTATTCCCATGACTATGCTTCATGCTTGCTCTCGGGGGTGCAACCCCCTCCCCCCCTTGCAACACACAAGCCCCCGCTCGTCCCCTCCCCCACCTCGGGTTTAGGGTCTTAGGGGTTTTAGGGTTTAGGGTTTTCGGGTCTAGGGTTTAGGGTTTGGGGGGGGGGGGGGCGGCTTGTGTTTTGCAGGGAGGAAGGGGGGAGGGGTGGGGGGCTTGTGTTGCTGTGCGAGCGTGAAGCAGGGCCTCGACCACAGCTACTTTCCGCACGATGCTGAACCTAACGAACTAGTGCTGAATCCGCCCTGGCGGAGGCTAGCTTGTTGCTGTTGCGGCTAGTGGTGCTTCTGGCGCAAAACCTGCTGCAACAGAAATTGTTTAGGGTCATATAGGATCATGTTAAAAGTCTACAGTCTTCAGCGGCCAAGCCACCGACGAGGCTAGTATATCTATATCTAGTGCTCGCAGGTGCAGCTACTTGTCGTAGAAGACGGTACAAATATGTGCTAAAGTTGGCCTAGAGTTGGCAAAGACCTGGTCCAACATATTTCTAGAACCGGCAGTTGCATCAGTCGAACAATCGGGCCGTGCATCAGGGAAGCGATCATGATTGGCGTTTCAGAGAATCCAGCGACTGCCCATAAGTCTGTAGATTGCAAACGACTGACTGTTCGCTGCTCCGAGGCGTACAGCCAACGATGCTGCAGCTGGCTGCGGATGCAAAGAGCCAACGAAGAGCTTGTCCCAGCGTCATGCGCGCGACTGGTTCGGAGAGCTCTCTCGTTGGACGCTCTACTGGAACTGCCTGGAGTCCCGGAGCTAACACTATGGCCCAAGCGTGCTCTGTGACAGTCGTGTGCTTAGTGGAGTGTTGTTCATGTTGCATGTTTTGGGACGAATGTGAGGTTATGACGATGGAATCTTCATTGGAGGCCGCGGAAGTGGCAAGGGGTTGCACGTGGATCAGGTGGCTTGGTTGAGATTTGCAGCAGCCACAGAGCCATCAGAACGATGCTCGAAACGACATGCCTTCGGGATAGCAGGTCCTGTGGAGCAACATTGGCAAGCAGTGGAGGCACGGATGTAACCCGAATCCTGCAAGTTCAGCACGGCACCGTCGGCATCGCTAGCTGCCCGTGTCTCCTACGCAGCAGGGGCTACAAGCTGATGGTTACTTGGCCAGCAGGCCAGCGCCTCACATCTCGGTTTCCCTACACATCCGCACGGGTGTCTGCCAATGTCTGCACTTTTTATCTTCATCCAGAAACACAGAGGGGGCCGGCGCTCCGATGCGATCGTCCCCAACAAGAGACATGGTGTGGTGTGGATGATGGAATATGGAGGTGACTCTGGCCTCCCACCTCCACACAAGCCTGATGTCGCCGATGAACTTGATTTAGCCAGAAAGGACAGTCCTACGTGGGGAGCGGCAAGGCTGTCAAATCTCAGATCGTTAATCCATGATCGCCAGCAAATGCCTTGGCATGGCAAGCTGTGCTTGCACGCCAGAGGTGTCGAATCCACCCACTACGTGAGGGAGTTGTCCGACGCCCACTTCCGTCCTCCCCTGGGGGAACCTCAGCTGAGAGCGTTGAGGCACGCAAACATAACCGGGTTGACCAAAAGCCACTTGTCCCTAACGCGAAGCGGTGAAGATCGGAATGTCAGGTCGGCTTCACGGATTGCACTCCTTCGCCCGGGCGATCTCTTCATTTGCAGTGGTGGCGTCGCCCATGCCACCCTTAGCGTTGTGGTCCAAGTGAAGCCGAAGCCGAAGCAGCGCAAGCGGCGGAAGCGTTCCGAGGCATCGGAGGACGTGAGCGTCACGGGCTACGAGTCACTGGTCTCCTTGCATCCAAGGCACGAAGGGAAGCGAAGGGAAGCGAAGCCTGGAGCCTTCAAGCGAGCAAGCCGAAGCTGGTAGCAGCTTGCAATTCAATTCACTGTCCCTCGGCCGCCTCGGCCCTGGAGGCACGAGCGAGTCGCCTTTGAAGAGCAGACATGAATGTGTTTAGTAGTGCTTCCAGTTTCCACTCTTTTGCTTGTCAGGCTAGTGGCGCACCTCTTGGAGACTGGGCTCGGGCCACAGTTCGCTCTGTCGGGCGTGGGGCCTCCTTCGTGCGAATGCTCTCGCTCGCATCCCCTCAGTCCCATTTGAGAGCTGGGCGGGACCCCCGCCGGTTCTTTTTTTGTTAGCTCCTGTCAGGGGCAACCCATGACAAATATCAGCCTGCATTGGATGAGGGACGCAGCAATTGAAGCCCTGATACATGCCACTTCAAGGGAAGAGTTTGGAGTCACCTTGGAAATATCATTTTCCTCAAACAAAGGCAGGTGTGAAGGTTTCAAAAGCTTCGGAATCAAACTCCCTGATGGCAGGATGTGAGAATGGCCTCCTGTATGCCCCGCCCACCAAGTATGCTGCCGTGCATCCCCCACAGTTGTCCCACAGAGTATCCAAGTACTGGCTGCTAGGGCGAGAGGGTCTATGACCCCGTACCGGGGTGGCACGATGTGGCACGGCATGTCCTTGGGGCGGATTTTTTTGCGAAAGTCGCACCCATCGGCAGGCATGGTTTCCCAAGCATAAACGCCCAACATGTGCACCAGGTTGAAGCGCAACGGTGTGCTGATATTTTTGAGATATCTGTAGCAATAAGTAAAAGCAGGATGGGAGAACAGATCATCATGCAAAGGTCAGTCTCGGGGCCATGCGCGCTGGACAAAGGCACGCTGCTACTCCGAGATCCTAGTCATAGACGCATAGACCGCCCAAAGTCAGCAACCTTTGAGGAGTCATGGAAGGCGAGGAGCTTCGAGAGCTCCGGGTTTCGCTGTTGCAGCGGCTAATGGCACTACTGAAGGACGGCCCCTGTCCCGAGCAGCTAAGGGCCCGTTTCCGACAGTCGTGCAGATTTGAGGGTGATTCCAAAGCAAGTTGTAGATTGTTGTAGACATTTGGTTACGTGATGCGTGCAATCCTCTTGCAGAGCTAGTAAGATAGCGCCGGTGAAGCCAGTGGGTGCGTGGCGGAGGAGCAGACAGCATCTAAGCCCATCTCAGAGATCGAGGCAGGGTGATGCATTGCTTGCGTCGGGCCATGTCGGGCCCGCGTGGTACGATGCGTGTAGACTTAAACATGCCGCCCAGTCTGCAGCTCCCTTCGGTGTGCCGTTGTCGCTTCCGTGCATGGCACTGCGGCAGCAGCTGGCCAGCGCAGCCTCACAGGCGGGAAGGGCTGAAGGGCCGCGAGCCTGACTGAAGTAGTCATAGATGAGCCACACACAGCGACACTTCTTTTCAATTCAGCTTTCTGCTGCTATTCACCGCCAGTCTGATGCCTTCCCACATGCATGTGTGTCTGTCGTCCAGCATATTTGTGTAAGGGTCTGTCAATGAAAGTGTGTGAGAACAAACGGACCGACCATGATGATATAGCCAGTCGAGTACATCGGTTGATGCAAGTCCAAGGACATGAGATTCCATAACTTTTTCGATGAAATGCCAAGACATGCAGAAACTTAGATAGTCTGCTTAATCGGATCAGCGGGTGAACTTTGGACAACCCATCCTCGCAGTTGAGCACAGGGCACGATCGCACTCGTCCGACTCCGCCACAACTGATGTCAACTGATAACTTATGCATATTTCTACTAGTGCCTGTCTGCCTCGAGAAGCCATGCAGGACGAGTAGCGTGGCTTGCAGACCCCTTTTAGTTGTCCAGCAGGGACGCAAGAGGAAAGAAACATAAGAGATGCGAGGAATCCGTCGGGAAGGTCTGAGGTTTCAAGTGCTGCAAGGCGGCACGTCAGAATCCCAAGAGAGTCGCAGAGAGTTGACGGAGTCACATTTTGAATCTTAGGCCGCGTGAGGAGACATGCCTTCTGCTCCCATCCTATTGTAGACTATGCTGACAATCCTCGGATGCAATATCTGCACGTGAAGGGTCGCAGCACACGTTGAATTTCCTCAGATCTAAAGCTTGACCTGCCGATCTGACTAAGCAAGCGCGCAAGTTACGAGACGCTGGACCAAGAGTTTCTGCATCAAGCTGCAGTGTGGTGCACTGACAGACTGGTCTGGCTTCGGACAAGCCTTCAGGTGGCAGCAGATCCCAACTTTGCAGTGCTTGCTGGAGGAGTTCGGCACCCAGCCCCGAAACAGCAGCCAAAGCAAAGAGAGACAATGCGTGAAAGACTCGCAGAACAGGCCGGTGTCTGTCGCTTACTGGCCGGAAGCGCCTGCCTCAATCGGGGCAAGGACGGAGCAGGGGGCAGCCCAAAGCAGCACCGACACTTCATGAAGCACGACGGAGTGCACTGCAGACCCTTCTCCGAGTCCAGGAGCTTGGCCAACTAGAGACGCCGTGCAAGCGCAGGAGCCTTGATGACACCTGGGCCTCTTGCTGTTGGCCATTGATCTTTCATACATTTTGACAACTCAGGTCTCCGCCGTGATGGGCCAGAGAAGACAGATATGGACTTGCGAACGCACGCTTAGTGTGAAAGAAAGCCATCACCGCCGAGAGTTGTTGAAGTTCTTCGGCTTAATATAAAAGTGAGACTGAAATGTTGGAGTTTGTAATTTCAGAAGTGTATTTGTTTACTCTGTTGTGAATTTTACCTAACAGTGCGAGCTCTGGATGGCCGAAAGCAGATTTACGAAAGATTGGGGTAAGGCCTGGGGCAGGTTCCCGGCGTGGGCTCCGTTCCGGGCAGGATCCGAGGCGAGTTGCAGGTACGGTCGTGCAGAGATTCGGGGCGAGATTAGAAATAATTTCTAAATCTAGATTCGTTCTTTAGGATTTCGGAAAATATCGATCTAAAATTGATTTATTTAAATTTCTATATATATATATACATATATCTAGAAAAATTTTAAGCTTATAATGAGTCATGGAGTTAGGGATATATTATTTGTTCTTATTTTCGTTATTATCTCTATTTCTACTAATATTAATTTGATTATCGCTATTATTTATATATATTTTTTCTTTATTATATAGAAAGGCATCTTATATTTATGTGCTTGTGTAGCTATTTGCCTGGGGAGCATAAATCGATATAGATTTTATAGAATAAAGGCTGCGAAGGCGGTCCGTGTATAGTTAAGAGTAATAAGTTGAAAGATACGAATTTATAGTACGGATTTTCTAAAGTTTGACCTAGATCCTAAGCTCCTTAATTTGCTTGTAACGAATACTGGTTTTTATTTAAATATTTTGTCGAGAAATTGTTAGATTTATAGTGTTATTTCGTATAGGTTTCACGTAAGTAAAGTGTATGGAGCGCGTAGCCATAGCAATATTTTTACTTCTCTTAACCCTTCCTTCTTGTAGCCTGTTCTTAAGCAGCGTCGAGTAACAGAAGGTGCATTCTGATCGTCTCCTATAGGTTGCCGCTAGCAAGTGAAAAAAAATCAGCACCAAATCTCCAGAAAAATCGAAATATTTGAAAATCCCCATGGACAAAAGATATTAATAAAGAGTATGGACTTCCTAGCCACTTGATTCTTTCTCAACGCATTCTGATCGTCTCGTGTAGGCTTCAGGAGGTCACTCCAAAATCTCTAGAAATCAATTTGGTGAGATGCGAATATACTTGAGGAAATCATCACTTATTATTTAGGTGTATGAATTTTCCTTGGCAAATCCACCCCGATAATATTCTAGATGCTGGAGGAATTATTTTTGTATAGCGCGTAGGTCGCGTAGGCAAGGCTTCTCCCATGAGCATTTGTATACTCCCACGCCCCATCTATATCAGGGATCCAGCGGAGTCCCGTGTAGCCAACAGTGATATAAGATCAACCCGAGCCATAAAAAAAATACTGCTCATATATTTATATTGCTGATAAATTTTTTTATTTAATAAATGAATTTGATTATCTTCTTATTCTATAAAAATGAATTTGGATTTATTCTTTTTCAGACTCAGAAAAATGAATTTTTTTTTATCAAATTCTTTATTAAAAAGTTCTTAGATATAGAAGAAGAAAAATCGGAGGTTCTATTATTATTATTTCTGCTATTTTTAATTTTTGAAAATTTAATTTTTTTAATAATTTATAGAGATTAATTTTTTACGAAGGAGAATAATATACAAACTTAAAATATATAATTCAAAATTTATTAAATTTTTAATATTCAAAAATCGAATGATATAAGATAATATAAGATTCAGTATCTTTTTAATGAATTTCTAAATTGAAATTCGAATAGATATTGAAAAATTCGATATAATATTTAATATATTTTCTTATCTGTTTATATAGATTATGAAATTAAATTTATATTAATAATAATTATTATATATTTTTTTATTTGAATGAATATAAATTATATTTGAAATATGAGCATCATAATTTATATTTCTGATTGAAAATAAAATTCATTGGAAAAATATCGGATTGGAATCGTATTATAAGCTGCCTCTCTTAAAGGAATTTATAGACTTCTCTTCGAATAATATTTTGAATCTTCTAAGAAGTGCGGGGGAAGAATATTTGAAATGAAAATATATTGAGGAAAAAAATTAAATATAATATATATTAAAAAAATTATTTGATTTATATTTCTTATATTTATTATATGATATAGTATATTTCATAGAATCTATATGAGCAAGCATCAAAAAATATTGAAATCTTTCTTCAAGGAACGGACCCAAATAAATATTTATACCGATAGAAAAATCAATATTTAATATTGTATATTTCAAATAAAGGTTTCTTCCCGCACAAATCAGTATTTAAAATCAACGAAATATTATATTATATTTGCTTGCTATATATTATTTATTCTTTAGGAAGCCTTCTAGAGCGAGGCTTTAAGAATATTCATAATAGTATCTAGAACGTGCGTTATTTCCCGCAAATTCCTCGAATTAATTTTTGAAAGTGCGTATAATTTGTCCAAAAAGAATTCTTTAATATCAATATTTAATAGCATAAATAATTTTCTAAAGAAATTATATAGTTTTTTTATAGAGTCCTCTAGACTAAGCATTTCAATATTTGCAAAAGAAAGAATCCCGAGCGAATATTTTATATCGCGCAATGTCCGAGAGATAACGATAATAGTATTTATATAGCATTTATAATTATCTTTCTTTAAAAATATATATCTATATATATTTAAATTATCTAATATATTCATATCTAGATACGTAGAAATTTTATTCATATTATATATATATATTATATTTAAAATATATAATAATGAGAAAGATAGAAGAAGAATAAATGAATATTTATTGAAAAAAAATTATAAAAATAAAAAGTAAAGAATCATCGTATTTATATAATATTCAATTTTTTTTTTATAATATTCTAGAAAAAAAATATTTTCAAGTTGAATTAAATTCTCTATAGATTTTTTTTTTAAAAAATATTTCTTCCTAATATTTTAAGATAAATATATCGAATTATTTTGAAATATATTTTAAAATCGAATCCAATCCAATCTATTATCGAATAATTATTATTGTATATATAGACCGCCGCCATTTATAATTAATAAAATAATATAATCTAAAATCCTTTAATATTTCCAAAATCATATAAATATACTCGAAATCTTTTATCACTTATTTATGCACATATCAATTCTTTCTATTCCCCTTTACTTTTGCTAGCATTTAAGTAGAGCAACTTTTCGGCCATTTGCACATATTAAGCCGAAAAATTATATGAAAGAAGGCACGGAGACATGGGGAATCACAACATTTTTGAGGACTAATGCAAAATTTTGCCCATTGCTATTCAGCCTCAACTGCTCATGCATGACTCCATAAAAGAGGCCTCCCCTCTAATATAATCCAAAATCTTCCTTGTTGACCGCTACATGATAGATTTCGCACGACACGTCGATACTGCCCTGCGCCCAGATTGAAGAAAAACTAAGCGCTATCAAAAGCGCAACATTAAACTCCCTAGTACCACCATCATCCTGAAAGTACCTACGAGGAACGAACACTAGACATGCCAGGTTGGATAAGTTGGTGTTCATACCCACGTGGTGCGAAAACATCTTAGAGGGATCCCAATCTTCTTCTCCGATCATAGCATGATTCAAGCATGGCTGCGACAGGTTCATTCTCCGTGCAAGTATTTGTTTAACTTCATGTATTATAGTGACTTGCATATATGACGGTCGTTTTCGTTTGCTGACATTTGCTGCTTCGCAGTCGGAGTTGGAAGCCGCGAATTGGCACGCAATGTAAATCTATACCAGCTAAGCAGTTTGAGTTGTCCTCCGCAAAATACTAGGGTGAAACTGAGGAGGCCCCGGCAACTTGCAGAACTGCATGTTCCGAAATAGAAATCTCTGGAAACAATTTTACCTTCAACGGACAAGCCACCTCTCATGCACTGTCGTGGTGCCTAAGGCAGAAGGAGACCATGTCATTGACCAGAACGGTTGATGTCGGGAATCTCCCGCTCAAGCGTTCAGATAAGGGGTTTCAAGTTGAAGGATGGCGGTTTTCACCCTTTGAGTGAAAGCGCTCGCACTAGAGTACAGCTACTTGAAGCTGTTCGTCAGAACAGAACAGCTGCAATCACTGGGAAAAGCTTCAACCGATGTCATCAGAGCCGAGTCCATGTCCCAGATGAGACAAATCAGCCGGATCAACAAGGGAGACATGTAACAAATTCGCGGCTGGCTTGCTTGCACTCGCTTAGCGTTCTTCTTTACACTTCATCAAACTGTTTCACCCTCGACCTTGAGTGAGTGGACAACCGTCGTGCAAAGTTTGTTGTCATACCACGACCTGACAGGGCCAAATCAAAGACTTCTCACCGCCGTGTGGAACAGAACTGCTGCAATGTCCGAGCCCTCACAACTAACAAGTTGCGTGATACCTGCCAAGAAATGGCAAAGATCGTTGAGAACCGCATGTAGGGTCGAGAACTCATCGGCCGTGAACTTTCGCAGGTTCACAACGTCTTTCACAGTGGTCTGATTGGAGCCTGGACGCGGATGTGACGAAGCACAGCCATCAAAGGTCTGTTCGAGCAAAAAGTGTGTGAATATGCACGAATCCACATTTTTCAAAAACACTAGGGACTTGCAGAACTTTCCTTCCAAAGCTGCTCGACAGAGTATCCAATCGTGGCCGAACGAGACACCGCTGAACAGCCACATGGAAGCAGCGCTACAACAGCGACTGACACTGCCCATAGCACACTAACAGCTTCGAGGAGCCACGGAGAGTCAGAATCGCATCCATGAACTCTCCGAAAGTTAATGGTTGGCCGTCCTCAAAAAGCAGCCTCAGCGCACAAAGTTCATACAACGGTAAACGGCAGTAATGACCCACTACTCATTGTATCGCTACGTGCCCTAAAACTGTCGTGCTTGGACTTAAAGGCTGAGAAGTCCTTGGGCTCATGGGGCTCCTTGACCATGGTCTGGCTAGTCTTACGGCTCCACTGCTAATGACGAGTATTCCAAGACAAAGCTCGGGAAAAGGAGCAACTCATGACTAGGATGGCCTCAGCCGAGACTGCAGAAGCGAGGGGCTGTCCATACTCCATCGCTGCATATGTGTCGACACCCAAGCGCATGAGTGCCACAGAAGCTTCCGGCCGCTCCAGGAGCCTATGGCGCATCAACGGCAGTTCCGCGAAACTCAAATCCCATCTCTTGACAAACGATGAACCCCTGGCCTCACGAACTCGTCCTCTGAGATTCGGTTGTCCCCATCCTGATCTGCATTGCCTTCCATCATCATCTCCCACAGGACCTTTATTCAAGTGCTGCCGGTCAGTTCACGATATGGGCGGATTCATGCTGTCAACCCTAAGAGCTTCTGCGCAGGGGGTGGGAAGCATGATGACCAGACGATGCACAAAACCCGTGCGCAATCTGGCCAACATCGCGACTGTCTTGGGCGACAGTGAATCGTATAGGCCTCGGGGGAGGCATGCAGTGTTGACCAACAGTAGGCAACAACAACAACTACTACGACGAC